AGCGAGCATCCGTTGCGACCAGCGCTTGGGCGTCGGCGGCGTCGTGAGAAGCGTATCGTCGAGATGCGTCGGCGTCGCGACGGTGTCGTTGGCCATGTTGGAGGCGAAATGAAAAGTGACGAGCGAGGTGCTGGAACATGTTTTACAATGCGCGACGCTGCGAGCGAATGTGAATGGGCAACGCGGCAGAATAAGTAGACGGCCACTCTTCTAGGAAGATAAAAGTTATGCAAGCATGCGAACATAGTTGCTGGTTGTGTCGTGGTTGCATTGGTGACTGCCGTTTGGGTCGAAAGTCACATCTGATTCGGCCGTGTAAAGAATGGATGACGACCCTCACGACACTCGCAGTGACGGCAGCGCAATATTTACGCACTCTATGTGAACGTCTATTACTTTTTCGAGCTTAAAGTCGGCTTTTCCCTGGTATTTATGCATCAGTTTTGCAACTTCGTGACAATCTCTGATCGACGCAGTGATTCCCATCGTTTGATGGGTTGGATACGTGACTATTTGGAGACGTGCTAATGTATTGTCCAGCAGTAGTTTCCAGTACTCAGATTTCGTTTATTTCACATGTCAGGGGAAAAGGGTGCAAGCCTGCATTACCGTTGCACCTCGGGTGAGACGTGGCGGGTTGCTAAACGGAGATCGAAAACTAAAACGCAGGCCTCGTGAAAATACCAATTCGACTCCTTGCAGGCGCGAAACACGTAGTTAGCGAGACTAATGCGTCCACCGTTAGCGCAGGTGGCGTCGTTAGCGTGCACCCCGACTCCTGCGCAGCACAACACTAGTGTGTACATGAGTGCAATTCTCTAGTTGAACCGTCGAGACCGTTTCTTTTGTTGCCCGGACCACCGGTACATCGCGGCTTGTTTCTAAACGTGATTGTAGCTGCGTGCACAATTGCACAGTCGCTACTAGATGCGAAAGCAGTACGTACCGCCATGCGGGCTGGGTATTATGTCAAAGCTCCACGTTGGGTGCCAACGTGATACTTCCGAATCGGAAGTATCCGGGTCATGCACAAAATGACGATGGACTTCCTCGCGATTCCCGCCACGTCCGTGTCTTCCAAGAGTGCCAACTCAGCTGCTAAGCACGTTTTTGAAGGTCGTGAGAGCCTACTAGTATGCGACAACATGTTGGAGACGTGCCGTCAGTCTTGGCTGCGCCTTGCTCAAGATGTCGGCCTCAAGCTTCCCGTTGATTGAACATCCTCAATCGACACGTAGGCTTAGAACAGCCATGGTGACCCAGATGTCAGCGCCAATGAGTAGCGAAGAAAATACGGCACCCACGGACAAGGAACCCCGCACTTTCTGCATGCGAAGTAGAAAACCACCGCACGAGCGCTAACCGACCTCAACCGCACTGGCGAAGGCTACCAGCAACGATATGATACGGAAGGCGAATCAGCGCCGGTGTCCAAAGCTCGTCTCGCCTGCAACCCAAACACTCGTGGCTTCAATCATAACGGTACAAAGTCAAAGGGAGAACAAAACATTGAGTTGATACTCCGGGAGCACCAATGACAACCAATGCTACCTGGCCTTGGTTCATACGACATTAGAGCGCGCACTCGAACCACTTGAGTGGCTTGCGGTCAGCACCCCACCACCCGTCACCGTGGCGGAACGACGTGTCGAGGTGGTTTACCGACGCCTTGTAGTTGGCGCTCGAGCTCGCGCTTGTTTGAAACCCGCCGACGCCGACGCTGCAGCTGTTGAAGTCGACGACGCCGTCGTGCTGGGTGTCGTGCTTGACGAGAGCGCCGACAACCGAGAGCGCAATCGCGTCCGTTGACACCAAGCCAAACGAGCTGACGCCGCAGAGAACCTTGGTGACATACTGCTGACGCACACGCTGAGCCGCTTGGTAGTCGCTGACAAGGGCCGCATTTGCCGTGTTTTGGTGGCGCATGTTGAGGTACGCGGGCGTCGCGGGGCAGTAGCCAATGAGACTGAGGATGCCCTTGAGCACAATGTCCCAGCCGTTGCCAGCACACTTTTGCTCGAGGAGATTGGCTGCCTTACTACCTTGCATCGGGCCGCCGATCGAGACCCACGTGACGCCCTTGCCGATGTTGCACTTGCCGCTGGCGACGGCACCGGACGCGACGAGGTTGCCCATCGAAAACGTCACCAAGATCATGTTGTCGATCGTCTTGCCACCCGACGTGCCGACTTTGAGCGCCGTGTCGCAAAACTCGACTTGCGTCGACGGGTTGTTCCACGCCCGTGTCACCGACTCGTAGTGGGCAAACTTGACGCTCGAGCAGCACGGCGCGTGCTTCTGGACGTCGCCCCACGATTCCGCGAACGTTGATGTTGGCGCCGCACTCGACTTTTCGCCGACACCGTGGACAAACAAACATGGCTTTTTCGGGCCCTTGCACCCGCACGATGACGAACCAAACCACTCGGGAGTTGCGGTCCGGAGACTCTCGCTACTGCGCACCGCAGTATCCGTAACCACGACCGGGCAGTTCAACGGCGCCTTCCCGACCACCTGCGGCACGTCAAAATCGGGCAGCAGCGTCGGGTCGGTCAGGTACTCGATCGTCATGTCGAGGTCTGTGCCCACGGCGTTTGTGAGTTTGTTGGTCTCGGAATTGCAAAAGATAAACGTCTCGCCCGCAAATTGCAGTTGCAGAAGCTTGCCTGACGGACAGTCGACCGTTTGGCCATTGGCGTTGGCGACAACAATGGCGTCCGCGAGACTCGCTTGCATCTAACACAGACGCATTACGTTTTGCAACAGATAAAGCGGTACGTACGAGCTGGACGGGCGGGAATTGAGAGGCGTCCAAGCAGCCCGCGTCCGTCGTTGTGTTACCTTGAATGGTCGACCAGTACGCGCGGTCGTTCAAGAGGACGTAGTTGGCCGTCACGTCCGGTCCCGGCTGCGACAAGTACGCGTCAAACTTGAGGTTGGTGCCCGATCCGGTGCGCGGAATGACATAGACCGTCGCCGAGGTCTGGCCGTTGAAGGCCATGCTGGAGCGCTTGGCTTGGATCTGGACGCGGAGACCGGGGGACTGCTGGATCTGGGACACAATTTCGCCGGCGTGGTTGGGCTCTGGCGCATTGAAGGCGTAGAGGGCACCGACTGTGATGCAGACGGCACCGACAACGCCGACGACGCTAAGAATCCACTTGATCGAGAACCCTACAAGTCTCGGACCTTAAACTCGGACCGAAGCCGCGCATTGACGTACGAGAACGGCGCATGGGTGTGTCGGCGAGGGGCTCGGTAAGCGTGTTGGGTGTGGGAGGGGGTCCAGTCATTGCGCTTGGCTGGCGAGACGAATTGAAAAGTGAGCTCCAAGGGCGAGCCAGTATACTCTGCTTGACGACGCTCGAAAGACCATTGAAGCTCTAGGCACCCATGGATGACGGGGTGGACCACTGTGAGTACCACGGTTTGCATCGACATGGTTACGAGAATGTGCTCGGATTTTGCACCAAGCTACTCGATGCACGCCCAGTTCGCACGTGGCCTCGCATACAAACCACGTAAGACTAGAAAAATCGAACCAAGTCGAAAGAATCAGAGCAAACGTGTGGTGTCCACCGGTATCAGATGGGAATGATTCAAAGTGCGTGGATCACGTATTGCTGCTGAGATCGTGCAGCTGAGTACGATCGGCGACCGAGTAATGATCATCTGCTTGAGGTTGCGATGCCGGAGCAATCCGCCAGCTTGGAGAATGACCTGCAAGACTGCCCGCCAAGGTTGCGTGTCGAAAGGAAGTAGCTGCATCCATTTAGGGAAACAGCGGTAGATCAGTATGGTACCACTGCCGTTGACAAAATTGCGCCACAAATCCTACCCGACTAGATTACTTCTTTGAAGCTCCGAAAGCGCACCGGCATTGTCAAGTTTCTAGTTCGCACGTGTATCTGATATTCAGGCTACTGTACTGGCGACGAGCAGTTGCTGCGGTTTGTATCTTTGAACTGGACTGGGAGCATCGGGCCAAAGACAGTGCTAACCATGCAGCCGGTCGGCCAACGCACGTATCAACATCGATGAGAATAGACTGTCTTGAGAATGGACTGTCTTGACGAATCGCGCTCCTACGCCCCAGCAGCGTTGAGTACCGGTAGCGCAATCGTGCTTTTGGATCATGCGTGGGTGGCGCAAGGAATCTGGCAGAGACCATCGATATACGTACAGCTGTACATGAATCATCCCTATCTGTCATCTTTTGTATATCATCTCTCAGATTCAATCCTACCCGCAACATTGCAACGAGCAACAATGCATCGACTTGATTCGACTCTTTCGCGACGGCGATTTCCAAAGTAGACTGGAATGACAACACAAAACACCTTTTCCACCAAGGTTAAACAGGATGATAGACACCCGAGTTTCCACTACAAGGCGCACTCGAACCATTTTTGCGGCTTGCGATCGGCACCCCACCAACCATCGCCGCTGCGGAAGCTTGCATCGAGGTGGTTCACGGCCGGCTTGTAGTTGGCGTCGTCGGCATAGTTGGTGCTAAAGCCACCAATGCCATCGCTGCAACTCTCAAACGCGACGAGGCCATCACTTACGTCGCCGTGGTTGGACTGGTCGCTCGCCCATTGCATAAATCCCGAGTAGATAGTGGTGAGGCCATTGGGGTTCGTGCCGCAAATGAGCTTGGTCGCATGCGCACGGCGGACGGCTTGGGCCGCGTCGTACTTGGCTTGCAAGGCCGGTGGCAGCGTTGACTTGTACTGGAGGTTCCGGAATGTATTGGTGATCGGGCACAGCGTCACGGCACTGAAAAGCCACTTGATCGGGACGTCCCAGCCATTGTTGGCGTTGCACTTTTGCTCGAGGGCGTTGGCCGTCTTGCTGCCATGCATCGGACCCGCGATCGAGACCCACGTCAGGTCGCGCCCAAACGAACACTTGCCACTTGCGACGGCCCCCGAGGCCACGAGGTTGCCCATGGAAAAAGTCACGAGTAGCAAGTTGTCGATCGACGTCGAGTTGGGCTTTGCGTTTGAGACTTGAAGCGCAGCGTCGCAAAACTGGTTGTGGATCGACTCTTCTTCCCAGCCACGGAACCACGTTTCAAAGTGCGCAAACTTGATCGACGAGCAGCACGGTGCGTGGAGGTGGGCGAGCCCCCACTCGAAGAGAAAGATGTCCGAGAGCGACGCGTTAAAGTAGTTGCCGGCACCGTGGACGAAAAGGCACGGCTTCTTGGCCATCTTGCAGCCGCACGACGCACTCTCGATCATCGCCACTCGGGGTGCCCCCGTCGCGGCGATCCACACCTCCGACGCCGTCGAGAGCATGCCTGCGCTGGCCGCCGGTGCTACCGCGGACGGCACGACAATAGGGCATTCGAGCACACTCGTCGAGTTGACACCGACCGGGATCGCAAACTCGGGCAGCAAGGACGGGTCCGCGAGGTACTCGATGCTCAAGTCAATGTCGACACCGGACGCGTGCGACACGCGGTGGTTGGCACCGTTGCAAAAAACAAACGACTCGCCCGCAAAGGCCAGCTGCAACCAGTCGCCGTCGCATGTCGTGTCGGTGCCGACGACCGCGTCTAGGCGCGTCGCGTCGGCGAGGCTCGACTGCAAGAGCTGCACTGGGGGAAGCCCGGACGTCACGCACGCCGACGAAAGCAGCGTGCCGTTGGCCGCGACGGACGACGTGTACGCACGGTTGTCCAAAAGAAGGTATGTTTCTGTCGTTTCGGCGCCCGAAAGGCTCATGACGGCATCAAAGCTCAGTGCCGACGTCGCACGGCGAGTGTGCGGCACGATGTAGATGTCGGCGCTCAAGTGCCCGTGAAAGGCCATGCTTGGGCGCTTGGCTGTCACCGTCACACGGAGGCCAGGGCTTTGCTGGATCTGCGTCACAATGTCAAGCGCGTGGTTGGCCACCTTGGTTGTGTGCACGGAAATTGCGGCCACCGTGATGCAAATGGCGCCGACAACGGCAACGGCAACGGCAACGACGAGCAAGCGCCACGGAGTTGATCGGCGGCGCGGAGCTGTCGTATCCGTGAAGGCAGCGTCCACCGGCGACAAAATCGGCGAGCTTGTGAGACCCATGCAAGCACAATGCAAGGCTAGGCAAATTGAAAAATGAAAAAACTGGGTCGAGACCTCACACGGATGCGCGGTACGGAACCATACTATGATCGGATCAGACTGCGTCGTGTTGAGCAGAATCAATGACGAAACCAAGTCCATTTAAATTCGTGGCCGAATCAGGACGACAATGAACGTCGTGGGTTGGCGCCTGTCGCGATGCTTGCGTCTTTGATTGCATGTACAGTAGCCACGAACGACGTTCAAGGAAGAGTAACCATTGACCTAGGTGTGCATAGGTCGTTCAGGGGCAGCCAAAGGCATCTTCAAGGTCTACGTCGAGTCGTGTGCGTGACGGCGCGGTGTGATCGCTTCGGTTGGCGTACCCAGACAGGCGCGCGACGGCTACTCGCGAAGCCTTAGTATCGCAAAAGGATGTTCTTTTTTCTAGGCCGATCAGATGGTGACGCAGGCAGACACAAACATTCTCAAGCCATGTCCACTTTGACAGAAACGGCCGACACACGGTGGATGTCTCCAACGAGTATGAGCGGTTGTGTAGCTCGCAAGCTCTGGTCTGTCGAATTTGATGCGAGGAAGTGCGTGCGAACAATCATGAATCTCATATTTCACTTCTTTGTTCCCTGTCGCCTTCAATAGGTAGAACGACCAGACTAATGTAACCTTGCTGCAGCAACATGGTCACTGCACGGTCATTCAAGACCAAAACAGCAGCACCCTAAACTACACTATGTACGACCATGCCATCCTTGCACCAACTACGCCGAGCGGTCAACCAATTTGGACCTTTCAGAAATTCACAACATACTATTGTTTGATACTTGATCCGCCGTTTTTGAAAGTGTGGGCGTTCGAGGGTTAAAACAAAGCAATAGTGCAAAGTCATTACGCTTACACAAAGATATCAACATTCGGGCAAAAAGCTTACAACGCGCACTCAAACCATTTTTGCGGTTTGCGGTCGGCGCCCCACCAGCCGTCGCCGTTGCGGAACGAGTTGTCGAAATGGTTGACACTCGCGAGGTAGTTGCCGCCGTCGGCGTAGTTGGTCGAGAACGAGCTCGCTTCGAACCCGACACGGCAGCTCTCGAACGCCACCACGCCGTCGTTCGTGTCGCCATGCTTTGTCAGCGTGCCCACAAGCTCCAAAACTGGACCGTACACCGTCGACAGACCAAATGAGTCGCTGCCACACATGAGCACCGACGCGTACTGCTTGCGAACGGCTTGCGCCGCGAGAAACTCGGCCTTGATCGCCGGTGACACGGTCGTCTCGTGCTTGAGCTTGAGGAAGGCGTCCGTGATCGGGCAGAGCGTCGCGATCTCCAAGAGACCCTTGAGCGGAAGGTTCCAGCCACCCTGCTTGCACTTTTGCTCGAGTAGGTTGCCCGACAAGCTGCCTTGCATTGGACCCGCGATCGACACCCACGTGACCTTGTTGGAGAGGTTGCACTTGCCCTTGGCGACGGCGCTGCCCGTGATGAGGTTGGCCATCGAATGCGTCACGAGGATGAGATCGCCAATGGTCTTTGTGTTGGACTTGCTCACGCTGAGCGCAGCGTCGCAAAACTCGTTCTGGATGTCGTCGTTGTCCCAGCCACGCGTCCACGTCTGCAGATGCACAAACTTGGTCGACGAGCAGCACGG